GTTCTTGACTTTGGGTGACTGCAAAACCTTGATTCTTTTGTTTTCCAGCCATTCTGTTGCAGATTTGTGCTCGACATCACTGTATTGTTGCATGACTCTGCTTCAACCGAGCTTTAGGTGTTGGACAGATGGCCTCATATTTGATGTTCAAGCACTTTGGTAGACAGAGGAGTTTATGGTCAACTCAATGTCTTCAAGGTACCCAGTTCCTGTGGCTGCACAACGAGCTCAAATCATCACCCCATCTCCACCACTGTGCTTTACAGATGGTATGCAGTATTTATGCTGATATGCTGTGTTGGGTTTTTGGGCAAACGTCTTCGCCTTGGTCTTGTCTATCCAAAGGACATTATTTCAGTAATCTTTTGGTTTCTTCAGATGCAACTTTGCAAACCAAAGCCATGTTGCCATGTTTTCTTTAGAGACAAAAGGCTTTCAGACAAGCCATAGTTGTTTGGTCTTTTTCTAAATGTAACATGTTTAACATGCTAACTGTAGCGGGGAGGGGGTGGGGTTTTGCAGTTTCCCTGAAGATTACATGGTTTGATTGGGGGTGAATTTCTTCTGCTTTCATAGAGGTGAGGCTGCATAGAGAAAACTCTTTTTCACACCACTGTAAAATGGCTTGTTTAATACATAAAAAGGTGCAGAGTGAGATTTGTGGGTGGGGAGGCTGTAGCTCAGGTGGCAGAGCAGATCAGCCACTAACCAGAAGGTTGGTGGTTTGATCCCAGGCTGCTCCAGTCCAAATATCCTTGGGCAAGATACTAACCCCATGTTGCTGTCCGATGCATCCATCGGAGTGTGAATGTGTATGAATGGTAGATACTTAGCGCTAAAGACCTCAGAAAAAAGTGCTTGTGTGAATGGGTGTGATTGGGTGAATGAATTAGTTGTATAAAGCGCTTTGAGTGCTCAGAAAGAGTAGAAAAGCGCTATATAAGAACCAGTCCATTTACCATTTACCATTTGGTGTCATGGACAAAACCTCATGCTGGTTTATAATCAGTCAGCCAGGAAGGGCAGTGGACTTATGAAGAATGCAACATGTGTCTGACAGGAAATCATCTGTTCTTGCAAGTTTATAGTTCAACTACCTTATTACAAAATGTCATTTGATTTCGATTCTGTTTTGCTGAGATGATGTTGAAATATTTTTATGATTGTATTATTATTATTATTATTATTATTATTATTATTATTATTGTTAAGTTCCAAATACATGAAATGTAGTAATAATAATAATAACAACAATAATAATAACAACTGTATTTATAGAGAGGATATCATAATGTAGGGAAATAGTGTGTAATTTCGTAATAACAGATTATGTAATAATTAAACAATTATATCTTTCCTAATGGCGGCTAAGAACGCAGCATTTAAATTGTATTCATCGATTAACAATAAACTGTCTGGGAACAGAAAGCGTTTATTTCTCGGTATTTGAGCGCTCCACCACAGGGAAAAAAAAATCCGCAAGTCCATTTTAGATCGATCTTTACGCTCATTCATCGGATCTAAAGCTGCTCCCTGACGTAACTTACATTTGTTTATTTATTTACCTCGCAGCGACATCGAGACTACATTTTCTTGTGGCTCCTAATATGAGCGCTTCGGTGCCGCGCAGTCACCAGGGGGCATGCACATAGTAATAATAACAATAATAATGCATTTGAGGAAAGCCTGCTACGACGAGCCTCCATCGTTTCTAGCTCCCCGCACAAACGCCAGCCCGGCCGCGGCGTGATGGAGCTGTGCGCTTAGGTTCATGTGTCCGGCGGGACTGCCCCTGGCTTTTTTTCTGGGGAAGATCATATTGGATCATATTGTTTGCAGGACGTTGTTCCTCCTGCAGCCCCCCCAGTCTATCCCGACGTAGTTGTGAATTGAACATGGCGACTGTACCAGTATATTGCATCTGCAGATTACCTTACGACGTGACCCAGTTTATGATCGAGTGCGATGCTTGCAAGGACTGGTTCCACGGCAGGTAAGTCTCGATTGTTCGCCGTACTGTATTTTGGGGCGGTTTGCATTTGTGGGAAACAAACAAAAATGGCGAGGTCTCGGTTGCGTTTGACAGCTTTGTGGCTCTCAGTCGCCCGTCTACATCTGAAGAGAGGCCGCTTGGAGAAGAAGAAGAAGGCGGAGTTATATATAGCCGACCGGGGTTGTGACATTTTTTCGCGAATAACACAAAACAGATTTCCCTTATTGGAATAAATACGGTGGTTAATGGGGGGATTTCGGTGTGAGCTTCGGCTATTAATTGCACTTAACGGCTCTTTAACATCCCCGCATAGCCCCAGCCTGCCTTCCCGCTGTAAGGAGCGGACGACAGCGGGGGAAGCCTCCGCAAACTCGCCGCTCATTTTTGTGACAAATGCTCGTCCTTACAGACATGTTAAGGCCAACATTTCGTGCGTATTGCCGGGAAATATTGTCACATTCGAGTCGCTTTTCCAGTTTTCACCGGCCGTGTTAACCGAGCGCGGTGGAAAATCACGACTCGAGTCCGAGCTTCCCGAACTCAGCCCCGCAGCCTTCCTGCCAGGCGGCAGCTATGGCTGACAATAGCCCGTGCTGGGTGTCCTAAGCTTCAGCAGCGGAGGGGAAATAATTATTAGTATTGGTTTGACTGGTTTGTCACTAGTGTAGACTACGACTGTTAGCTCATACGTCTCCCCGAGCATAGTGCGAAACGTATCGCCCGCCGCTGCTCATCACTTTCCCTGCTGTACACACACTGTAATGGTCTCAACCAAATCCCAGTTATCATCTTTTAGTTTTTGCCTGCTGTCGTTATATCTGTTCTTACACGAGTCTGTTTCTGGACTGGCCTTTGCTTTGGGGTGTTTGGAGCTGTTCGGCTGCTCACTGCCTGTCTTTTTGTTAACTCGTCATTTGTTAATCGCGTTTCTTTCGGTGAACAAGCCCTTCAGAGCATTGAACAGTATTTACGCGCCTGAACGTTAACCCTTTAATGTTCCTCCGCCGGCCGGCTGCCCGCTGTCTGTATCACACTGTCTAAATCATTCGAGAATTAAGGGATGGGAATAGTCCAAGACCTACGAGCCAAACCACCAGCAAAATACAAGTCCCCCCCCCCAGGAAGATCGTATTTCTGCTTGTGTTATTACCTGCATCACACATTTTCACTTACCTGTCACATTCTGTAAGTTTGTGATCCTGATAAAAATAGAGCAACTGCATTTTTCAAACCATAAGTATATTTAAAGTGGATTTGCACACACCGTACATTGGCGCTCCAATTATTCAGGCCCCTGAGGTGGACCATCATGAGGAATAAATCAGGTTACTAACATCAGGGTCCCTTAAAAAATTTTTAACAAATGTTGGACCAAGTAATGCATTTCTTCTCAAATTAATATTAGCGATAGACCACTGATAAATACTTGCATTTTAAAATAATATTCATGTACATGTTCAGTTGTTAGGAGCGGATGTGTTAAGTTCACATGTATCATCAATATAATTATGATTCACAGTCTTAGCATGAGTCCACACATGATGATGTGATGTAACAGAAACTTGAACAAAATCTAATCATCATCATCTAAGTGATCACTGAATCCTCCGGGACTTATACACATGGTGATCCATACATGTATGGGTATCACATATACATTTGCTGTTAGAGTCAGAAACAATCGTTCTACAAAGAGCTGCAGCAGCCTAGCTTTGCCATGTCTGACAACACTCTACTTTCCTACAACCTTTATGCATTCGTTTTTATATCCTGTAGTCATTTTGGTTTGGGCCACAGTTGAGTCACTGCAGTGTTCAGGGCAGCGCTTTGGAGATGCTGCTTGCAGTCATGGCACCCAGCTGTTGTTGATCAGGAAACAGTTCAAACGCTAACTGCTCCTAAAACCACACTGTCTGGTTTTCACTGTACATTTCTGTTTTATCTTCATGTTAAATGAACAAAACCAAGTGAGTTAGCCTCGGACTAGTTGCATTTTTAAAATGGCAACTTTAAAAAAAAAAAAAATCAACCTTATAATAAAAGTGTCTTTATTGAGGAAGGCACTTTTTTAGCCACTGGTTTAGTCTGTTTTAGTTCATTATTAATACTCGTGGGAGCTCAGTTTACCGCCTGGCTTCAGTCTCACTGCACTTATCAACCCTTGATACAAAAAGCAAGCAGCTGTTTTCAACAAATAAGCTACAATAAACCCACAATTAGTGACAAAGCTAGCTGGTGATGGCTTATCCAAAAAGCAGTAGTTGGAATATTTTTCTCAGGAGGTGGTGACCAGTTGTTAGATAAAAGAAAAAATAAGTAAAAATAAGGATTTAGAGCACGTTGTTACAGTGAAAAATAACTGGTTCAGACCTCAGCTAGGTCCTTTCTGTTTAGTTTGCATGTTTGCACTCTGCCCATCCATGGATCTTCTTACCCATGGATGTGAGCTGGACGGGTGTTCACGTAGAATAAAAGAATACCAAAATTCTGAAAATGCAACATGCCCACCAGCACAGAAAAAACAACACACTGAACAGCAAAAACTATAAGCCGAAGATCGCAACTAGTGCAGCTGCCACAACAACTCTGCTCTGACTTATTGATAAGAAGGGCTGTAAGAGTTATATCAGGAAGTAGTTTGTGTTGTTATCATGAAATACATTTTACCACTTTGTCTGAGACACTTGTCATTGCTGTTGTAAAATCAGTTATGATCCAAAGGCTAAAATGTTTGCAGTGGTTAACATTATATATGCTGAAGCTAACATGACATAACTAATGTTATGTCTTATAGGATTGTCAGTAGGCTGCCTGTCAGTCATCCTAACATCTCAGTCTATGTTCTGTCAACTGAGTATAATGTTTAAACAAATGGTCTACCAACACCATGTCAGTGGCTTAAATCACATTTTAATAAATAATTATGGCTGAAATCATCAAATTCTCTTCGTACTGGCGCTGACTACAAAATGTTTGATGTTGTGACATTCTGAGTCAGCAAGACTGAAATATGCTATATAAATATACAAAGCCATTCCTTTCCAAGACAACTGATATGTTGCTTAACACCAACATTTATGTATTTAAAGTCCGTCAAATTGTAACAAAAGCTGTCTTAACCAAATATTTCTGGATAATTCTTTATTAAAATACAACATGTTAATATGTATTTCAAGAGAAGAGTGTTTGAACATGGCTGTGATGTGACTTGTTATCAGGTATTGGTAAATAATGTTTAAACTAATACTGTAATACATATTATATATTACCTTATTACAATTTTGAGCAATTGTTCTTCCCACTTGATGTTTGCAGTTATTTTGGCACTGCATGAATTCACTTTATGCTTGTGGTAATTAGTAACAAAAACGTTCTTTACTTTGAATTTGCGCGTTGACAAGCAGCCACGGTGAGTTAATGCGTGTGAATGAGTGAAACACTAGCATTAACCATGCTCTGCATTTACATGGTGTAGTGAAGTTGTAAATGAGCAGAGGGAACGTAAACAGAGGACAGCCGTCTTAACTGGCGCTGTTCTATTCTACTTAAATGAACGGCTGTCAAACTGGATTAAAACCAAACAACTGAAACCAGGTGTAACCACATTCTGCACTAAGATGTGTGGACACCAGCACTGAAGAAGCCAAGGCTAGGACTGCTAGCATTGCTGGGGTTAGACTTGTTTGGGATTACTGGTGTTGTTTTAAAATGGTTTATGTCGTATCTATCTGAGAGATCCTTTACTGTCTGTATAAATCATGTGCTGTCGGAAACATCAGTTCTGCCTTCTGGGGTACCTCAAGGATCTGTTTCAGGTCCTATTCTCTTTTTGCTGTATATACTCCCTCTAGGCCACATATCAGACGTTACAATAATATTTCTTATCATCTCTATGCTGATGACATTCAGTTGTACTGTTCTTTCAAAG